TTCAGCTCAAGGCTAGCACTCTACCACTTGAGCCACAGCACCACTTCCGGCTTTTTTCTTTTTGCTTATGTGGTGCTGAGGAATCGAACCCAGGGCCTCTTGCATACAAAGCAAGCACTCTACCACCGAGCCACCTTCCCAGCCCCTAATTTCAGTTTTTTATTCCTTTTGTAAAAAGGAATGTTAAATCACTTACTAGATTATAAACAATCAGAGAAGAGAGGTGTGTTGCCCTTCTGCTGAGCAGAGCCTCTGTGCCTGCCTCCCCTGCTCCTGTATTGCTGCTTCTTACCCTGCCAGACTCTCATCATCTGGGATTTGCCCAAGCTGAGCTCAGCTCTCTTCTGACTTTCTTTATCAACCCATTATACCCCTAACATGGCGTTTATTTCAAACAGTGCTCTAAATATCTGCTTAGTGTCTGCCTCCCTCATCAGATTATTAGGTCTGTGACCAGAGTGGATTCATTTCATGTCCCCAAGATCCATGTTAGACTTCTAACACATATTAGATGTCAGTACCTATGTGTAGAACCAACTGGCCTCTACTTGCCCAGTACAGATGGCCATGCACATAGCTCAGGTGATATTTATAGTTGAATAAGTAGGTAGAAAAGAGAATTAATTAATCAAGATGTCAGGAGAGCCAGGCATGGTGATGCCCAATATATGATGAGCACTCGAGGCTGAGGGAAGGGGATAGTGTAGACCAGCCTGGCCTGAACTACATAGTGAAACTGTGTTTCAAGGAAAGAAAGACATGAGGGAAGGAGATAGATGAGGCACATGTATTTGTTTATAATGGAAAGTTTTATGTTCTTGTTCCCCCACAGTCTTGGTCACCCGGGAAGATGACTTTAACAACCGGTTGAACAACCGTGCCAGCTTCAAGGGTTGCACAGCCCTGCACTATGCGGTCTTAGCTGATGACTTCCGCACTGTCAAAGAGCTGCTTGATGGAGGTAAGAGCTGGGTGAAGGAGGGGCTGGCTGGGGTTGGCACGCTTTCCACTCTGGAAATGGCATGCTTCCCCAGGGTTTGTTACCCTACCTGAGCTACATTTCTGAAACTGTCAACATGAGTAATTTGCCCCTGTATGTGGGATACTGCATACTACCCTGTCTGTCTGTGTAAGCTATGAGAGTTGCCTTCATGGTTGTCCCCCTAGCAAAAAAAAGTCTTTACCCCTTTCCCCCCATCACCAGAAAAGCAGCATCAGGGGACCAGGGGGAATCTGCACGAAGCCCTACCATCTCAGGATAAAGCTCTGTCTTACTTGATTGAACTCCCACTGCAGTTTCTCTTAGGCCCTTCCCTTGCTATGCATCAAACATGAGATTGGTTTTGTTTGCCCTAACTTGAATCTGATTTCTCTGAAGGCAAAAACCAGGTGTGGAAATATTTAGGTGTCCATATAGTACTAATGTTGTATGGTATATACTCCTATAAATACTTGATGACTAATAGATAATTGAAGGGACAATAGGTCCCGTCTATGTCGCTACTGAGTTACCTGTCAATTACTGTTAGACACCTTCCAGGCACTGCTACTTTCCCCACCCCAGTTTAGCCTCTCTGAGAAGCTCCAGAGGCAAGTTTCTTGTTAATATGTGTGGGACCAGGCCCCTAAGTGAGTACATGGCACAGGACTATCTATGCACATTCACCCTGCCAGCTCCTCAGTGCTATAGACCCATACTTGGGGCTGTACCCCAGCTTCCTCCTAATTAGAGGTCATTCTCCATGGAACCCAAAAGCTAGAAAGTTCTTCCAAGCTCCCGTGGGCCACACTGATGATTGCCTTCCTTTCTTTCCAGCAGAAACTCCTCTAACAGCTGGCTAGCATTCCCTTCAGTTCTCTCAGAAACTGAGGGATCCTGCTATTCCTCCCCCAGGTAGTCCTTTCCATTTTTACTTCAGACCTAACAGGCAGAACAATCTTTTTAGTGAGTTGTGATCTATCTAGGCCACTGATGGCTCATACTTGGCTACCCAGGCTAAGATCTGAGTGAGGACCAAGGTTCAAACTTAACCCAAGCAGACAAATCAGAGAGATACTCTTTATCTCCAGTGAAACAAGGAAAACCTAGACCAGGCACTAGAGGCTCATGCCTATAATCCTAACTACTAAGGAGACTGAGATCTGAGGATCGTGGTTCATAACCACCCTAGATGGAAAAGGCTGTGAGACTCATCTCCAATTAATCACAAGAAAACCAGAAGTGGGGCTGTGGCTCAAAGTGGTAGAGCACTAGCCTCAAGAGTTCAGGGACAGTGCCGAGGCCCCGAGTTCAAGCCCTACAACAAACAAACAAACAAAAAACTAGAAGGGAGGTCTAGTAAAGGTAAGTAGTTAGAACACCAGTTTTGAACAACAACAACAAAAAAAAAAAGCCAGGCACTGATAGTTCACACCTGTAATCCTAGCTATTCAGGAGGCTGAGATCTAAGGATCATGGTTCAAAGCCAGCCCAGGCAGGAAAGGCTGTTAACCACTAGTTAACCACCAGAAAACCAGAAGTGGCACAGTGGCTTCAGTAGAGTGCTAACCCTGAGCAAAAGCGCTCGGGGACAGCAACCAGGCCCCAAGTTCAAGCCTCATGGGGGGAAAAAAATAGTAGGCACTGCAATGGCACAAAAAAATTAATGTGCTGTTATCTCTGTAACTTCTGTCACTTTTTGAAAAACCTGTCTACACAGAAAGTTTTTCCAGCCCAGAGCTTTTGCCTGCCAGGCTCAAAATTCTAGATCATCTGACTGGATAGACTTCCTAGGAACCTCCAATCCTGCCAACTCCTATCAGCCACAACCACACTAACTTTAATCCTAGGCCTGGCCCATATGCCAGGCCCCAAAGGATCTGCCCCAAAACTATGCCTTGGTTTGAGGCACATAGCTGTGAAGAACAGGGCTATACCTTGATATGACTACTGATCCTTTCAGAGTAAGGACAGAGGTTTAGAAAATGTCTCCAAGCAGAATGTTTCTTACTTTATCCTTTGGAAAGCTTGTTGGTGAAACATTTGTAGCTAAGAGTTGGAATATGCATCATGGGGTTTCTCTCTGCTGATGCCTTAAAATCAATACTCCCGGCCATTGTCTCCCAGTTTATTTCCCTCTGTCCCCCACCCCCAGACAGACAGTTCAGTCTACAAGGAGCCCCTCATGCCTGCCTTCCAGATGGAACACCTTTGAAATGAAGAAGAGAGGGCCTTTTATGAAGCTCCCCCACCCTTACCCCCCAGGCCAAGGCCTCCCCTTTGAGCTATTCCAGGGGCATGGTTCCTGCCTGGTGACTGGAACGGATGCCCTGAGCCCCCACCTTTGCCTTTCTCCCACCTGCCTTTTTAGCCAACATCCATTTATAAACCCCCCACCCTATCCTCCCAACCCCACGGGCCAAAACCATTAGCCCACTTGTTTCTCTCCTCCAGATCTAAACAAGTGGCCATCACTCAGGCCCTGCAGGCTTGCCAACTTCTGACCTCTCTCCCCTCCTTGACCTCCCTTGGTCTGCCTGTGTGTGTGAGCAGCCAACCGAGAGGCAGGACCCTGTGTTCCTATCCTAGGGGCTGTTGCTTGTACCATTTCTAATCTTTTCACCTCAGCTGACCCTTTTCCAAAGGTTCTGCCTTCCTGCCCAACAGCTTTCTTTCTTTTACTCTTAATGTAATTTTTATTATTAAGATATTATACAGAGGGATTACCATTTCAGAAGTCAGGTAATGAGTACATTTCTTTTTGGACAATGTCCAAATGTCCCCCATTTTCCCCCTCCCATCCCTGTCTACACGATGCATAGTTCATCAACTTGCCCTGGCCACCAGCTTTGCTGTAGCAAGTTAGATGGAAGTTGTCTCTGCAAGAAACAAGTTAGGCCAGCTTGTACTCACAGGCCCACACAAAACCCTTCTTAGAGTTGCTTAGTCCACAAGAATTTAGCTGCTAGGATCTGAAAGGGTAAGAGCTAGACTAGGAAAGCTGCTGTCTTCTGGCCTCAAGTCTCCATTTAAGCTGAGAGATGGCTCAGGCAATAACATCAGGCTGATAATGTGGACATCTGTCCCATAGGAAGCAGCAAGAAGAAATAGAGTCAAGCCTACCTGGGTTTCAGTCCTAGCTCCTCACCCGCTACTAGCTGGGTTGGTTTAGAAATGCTACCTCAATACTCAAAGCCTTGATTTTTGTTTTTTTTCTTTTTCTTTTTTTCTTTTTTTTGGGGGGGTCCAGTCGTGGGGCCAGAACTCTGGGCCTAGGCGCTGTCCCTCAGCTCTTCAGCTCAAGGCTAGCACTCTACCACTTGAGCCACAGCGCCACTTCTGGCTTTTTTTTCTTTTTGCTTATGTGGTGCTGGGGAATCGAACCCAGGGCCTCATGCTTGATGTTCTTATATGTAAAAAGACGCCTACCAACAGGGATAGCACAAAGATTAATAGCAACATGTAAAAGCAGCACATGGTCAGAGATCCATGATAGGACTTCAATACAGAAGTCAGATTGTTATCCTGGCAGCTGTCTCCATCTACAGCATTCCCACCCTGCCTAGAATGCCATCATATTCCTTTTCTTTTTTTGTACATTTTTATTGTAAAAATGCTGTACAGTTATATGAGCAAGGTAATGAGTACATTTCCTATTGAGCGTTGTTGCTTCCTCCTTTGTTTAACCCCCAACCATCCCTTCCCTCCCACCTCCACAACTACCCTCCCCTACCCCCTGCCGAAGTTGTAAGGTTCATTTTCAACATAGTGTTTTGTACATCTCATTGTTACAGTGGGTCAACCTGTATCTTTAAGCATTTTGTTTTTCCCCTTCCCCTCCCCAAATTCAAAGCCTCCTTCCTTCAGCAAGCCTTTTATACTTGAATGGTCTACTGATACTTCCTCCTCCGTACTTGTACAGTACTGGACTAGAGTTTAGCATAGACTGTATAAGGTCACTGGTTGGTTCATCTGCAGGAAGCCCCATACATAATAAAAATACTACAAACTTTAAGATCAGACAGGCCTGGTTTTAAAACACAGCTTTATTATGTGACTGAGCAAACCACTCTTCATCTCAGGGCATCCTGAAATGAAGACCCAGAGAGAGTCTCAGTCAAAGAAGACAGATAAGGAGACAAGCCATGATAGGGAGAGTAGGCACTCTTTCAGGAAGCTGGTTCAAGAACTCTAGGAACATAGAAGTAAAAAATGGAGGTACAGTCAGTTACAAAAAGATTCCCAGAGGAAGTCTGGGAAGTCTGCTAGATGCCTTCTGGAAGGGTTTTGAATTAACTAGTATTAGTCATCTACCAATACCCACTATAGAAAAATATGTAGGCCTCTGTGTTTTTCCTGCATGAGGTGGCTGTTTCTGCCTCTCTTGGTGGCTTAAGAGAAGGAAGCTCTGTTTCAATACTTAACTGCAAGTAAAGCCGAAAGTGGAAGGACGGAGAGAAGGTCAGGACAGCTGGAAAGAGGAGTAATCCAGGAAGATAGCTGGAGGTTCCTAACTTAGTTGACAAAGGCTAAGAAAAACGAGCATCAGAATCTGAATGCTAAATCTTCCACTTAATAGCAGCATTACCTCCGCCAAAAGAATCCTAACCATCTTGTCCTTGTTGTATCCGGTGATCCATCTATTCTTTTCTTTTTTTTGTTTTGATTTGTTTTGTTTTTTGGTGGATCATGGGGCTTGAACTCAACCTGGGGTGCTGTCCCTCAGCTCTTCAGCTCAAGGCTAGCGCTCTACCACTTGAGCCACAGCTCCACTTCCAGCTGAGATCTGAGAATGTAGTTCAAAGCCAGCCCGGGCAAGAAAATGTGTGACTTATCTCCAGTAAATCACTCAGAAAACCGGAAGTGGCGCTGTGGCTCAAGTGGTAGAGTGCTTGCCTTGAGGTAAAGAGCTGAGGGATAGTGCCCAAGCCCCATGACCAACAAAAAAAAAAAAAGAGAGAGAGAATCTCATGGACTTTCCT